AAAACTATAGATGCACAGAAACAAACATAAATCGTAAATTTTTAAATCAATGACAGATCTGATACTAGATTTTTTAGTAGAATTTCTGTCTTATTTTTGTTAATATTTAGAGTCTGAAGGCAATTGGGTATCAAACGGTGATGCAGAGACTGGTCCTTGTCAAACAGGTTATGGTGTGACGCATCCAACAGATTGGTCTTATAGTGAAGCGATTACACAAATGTATTATGGGAATATCGCAGGAGATGAAATGCTTACAGATCCAGGACCCAGGTAAAACAAAAGTATAGAAATAATTTGTTCTGAAGTTCTTTTTTCTGTAGTAATCGTGGAAATTGTCATTTCTATGGTGCATGGTCGGCTATAACTACAATGTGGCAAACAGGTAATATAACAATCTCAATCAATCCTCTTCTTATTGACAATCAAAAAGTTTGGTTTAATTTCTCTGCATGGATTGGTGGTTATTCAGACCAGGATGATAATGCTCAAGTATCGTTGACATTCTTAAATCAAAGCAATCAGAATGTGGGCAATAGTACCATTCTTGGGCCGGTATTAGCTATAGATCGTGGTAATATAACATCATTACTCTTCCGACAGGCTATTGGGCCTGTGCCAATTAGTAATCGAGCGTTCACAGTAGAAGTAACTATGACACGTTCAGACGGTAGTTCCAATGATGGTGATATCGATAACATTGCACTTTACTTATATCAATGATCACATACTAAAACGATATCATTCACATTCGTATTGTGCGTTAACTTGATGTTCTTTTTAATTCAATAAAACTATTGTTTTGATATCTTTCAAATAGATGTATTCTTGTAACTTCATGTGCGTGTTTCAGTTTGATAAAGAGGAACTTTTATAAAGAAAAGCATTAATATGTAAATATAATGAGCGTGGATATGAATATTTTTTCCATCAAATACCCACATACTCAAGATGAATTTGTCTGAAAGTGCCATTATAATCAACCAAAATATTCCTGGTATTTTTATGATCTTTCATATCGCCGTATATTTTTACAGTATACAAAAAAGCATATAAAACTCGGTTTGAGAGAATTTCTAAAGCACAACTGGAGTAATCAAATGTAACTAAATTATGAACGAAAAATGTCTTATTCATATTGAAATCAATGAATTTTCCAACTAGAAGAAGGAAAAGCAATCATTCGTCATATATATTCTGAACTTATAGTATTCTGCACGATAAACTCCATCAATCCAGAAAATGATCACATGATTAAATACAAGTACATTAGATTTTCAATACTATTAAATATTTTTATTGAAGTTTTCTAACATAATAATTATAATATGAGAAGGAAAAAAATAATCAAACATATTACTAATATGTACAAATATTAATAAAAAATTTTTAGTTATAGCGAGTTCTTTGTGTTGTTGTTCCAACTGTGTTCGGTGGTTTTTTTACATGACGTAGTAGTTTTAACATCCACTTTTTGAAATCAGGAAGTAATCCAAGACACATCCACGGTAGTAGAAGACAGATTAAATATGTGAAATCTGATACAATGTATTCTTCAATTTCATATAAGTAATCTGATGGATTTATCTGTTGTATAACACCAATGATAACATTCGGTAGCCATGATAGCAAATAAAGACTTGAGATACTGATCAATTGTAATGTCATATGTCTCTGTTTCGACCATGAAACAGTTCGTTGTCGGCGATGTTTCTGTTTAATAACTCTTACGACAAGTATTAAATTGCCTAGAATAATAGCAATAATTGGTAATCCAGTATTAACTATCCAATCATATCCAGCTAATATTGCGTTATTTGAAAAATAACAGATAGTATCACCACACATATTCAATGTAAAATTCCATTGTGCATCATCACATGAATATAATATAATAGTACCCATATAAAAAACAACTGGATAAATAATACAGAATAAAAGTGGTAAATAATATAAAAGATAGAGTTTGAAACGTATATTCAATAGATTTGGTCGAAATATCAATGTATGTCTTTGAATAGATATAATAGCTACTAAAAATTCATTTGCGGCATCAAGGGTACTCTCAATGTACATCCAAATTTTACAATATGCGCCTGTTGCTGGACTAACACGATGGAGTCGAATGAAATGCATAAATATTGGTATGTTAAGTGTTAATTGAATAAAATTAACAATAAATAAAATTAATAAAGCTTGATTTTGTAATTTTTTTAAATAACGACGATTAGTAGTGAAGAATAGAAAAATAAGAAGAAAAAGAATAATTGCTGAAATTTCTAAGAAAAGAATCACGAAAAATTTAATACTATGAATAAGATATGCATTGTTTGTTAGTATTTCCATCTTGCTAATGGTAGCCGTAGAGTCAAAAAAGAAATAGTCGTACGCTTCTTCGAGTAATTTTATGACAATAATGAAGTCTCATTCTGATGTGCTCTCTTTTCACTTTTTTTTTTCTTTATCTCTATATATAAACTTATGTCTTCAAGAGCGGAAACTAAGTTCAGAATAGTCAATATACTAATGAGAATCATTAATTTCTAATTTAACAATATTCTACCAGGTCTTGTTATCTTATTTTTTGAATAAAATGAAATTAATTAACACAGAAGAATATTTTAGTATTAAAATTCATTGAACTCTAATGAATAAATATTTTTCTATTATCGAGACATCTCTTTTTTCACAAAGATAATTTCCTTATTTTCTATAATGGAATTAATTCATATACATTTGTTTTTAGTATATTACTTTGAATCTTGGCTAGAATACATGTCATATAAAGACGACAAAAATAGATAATATTAATATTTTAAAATAATCAATGCGCATCTAGGTATACAGATATTCAAAAAAAATTAAATTTTTTGAAAACAAAACTATGTAAAAATATACATTTCTTTTAAGTAATATTAAATTTTATGAACTAAGTAATATAGATAATCAAATTTATTTTTTTCTATTTATTATACGACATAAATTCATTGTTTTCGACATAAGTAATGATTATATTTACAGAATTTCTATATGAATGAGAGATTATATAAATAGTTCTTTATATTGTTGGTCTGATTGTATTTTGCCAAGTTGTTAGATGCCGGTATCGTCTTAACATCCATTTATGAAAGTCAGGAAGTAATCCAAGAGACATCCATGGAAGTAATAGACAGACTAAATATGTGAGATCTGATATAAAATCTTCTTGAACTTCATATAAGTAATTTGATGGAGTTATCTGTTGAATAATACTACTAATAATCGTAGGTAACCATGTTAACAGATAAAGACTTGATACACCAACTAGTTGCAATGTCATACGTCGTTGTTTTGACCATGAAAGGGCTTTTTGTCTACGAGATTTTTGTTTAATAACTCTTATGATGAGTAATATATTGGCCAACATAATAATAAAAATTGGTAAACTACTATTTACTATCCAGTCATACATAGCCAATATTTCGTTATTTGAAAGAAAGCAAATAGTATCACCACACATATTTAATGTAAAATTCCATTGTCCCTCATCACATGGATAGAATACAACAGCACCCATATAGAAAACAGTTGGATAGATAATGCAGAATAAAAGTGGTAAATAGTATAGAAGATAGAGTTTTAATCGTATATAAAATAGATTCGGTCGAAAGACCAATGTATGTCGTTGAATAGATATCATAGCCACGAGAAAATTATTTATTGCTTCAAGAGTAAATTCAACATACATCCAAGTTTTACAATATATGCCTGATGCTGGACTAATATTTTTGAGACGAAGAAAATTTATGGCCATCGGTATATTGACTAACAATTGAATAAAATTAGTAATAAATAAGATTAAGAGTGCTTGATATTGTAGTTTACGTAGTTGATTGCGATTAGTAATGAAAAATAGAAAAATGAGAAGAAAAAGAATAATTGCTGGAATTTGTAAGCAAAGAAGTAGATAGAATTTAACATCATATATAAGATATTGTTCAGCTGTCAATATAAACATCATGTCAATAATTAAAGTTGGCGTAAAAATGAAACGTGAGAAATGTTTTCTAATATGCTTTTACCTTAATAATATTATTCTCATGTTAAAGGCTTCACATCGTCTTTTTCTTTTTCCCTAGTCTGTCTCTCTTTCTATATATACATTTATGTCATTTGTATTAAAACATGACCGGAAACGTAAAATATAACTATGACTGACAAGGATCGTCCTTGAATTTCTTCTATTTAATTACTCTAACTATCTTCGACTTACCTCTTTGGAAAACATGATTTAACCAAAATATATAATCGTATATCTAATAAAAAAATACATTAGAAATTACAGATTAAAATATTAATATATTGCGTATCTTAGTAGAATTGATAATTGCAGTTTTTTTTCTCTCTAATTATGAAATGCATTTTTATCTAGTGTTTAAGGCATCGAAAAGCGTAGCTATCACATAGAAACATGTAGCCTTGAGAACGTTGATTGTTGATAAGAGATGAACAAATTATCATAACTCACTCATTCACATCTTGACTAAATTTAAAGAAATAGGTCAATCATTCTTAATTCTTTTAAAATGATGAACAAATATTTTTCAAAGTAAAACAGAAGAAGATATGAAGAACATTAAGTAATGCAAAAGAAAATGACTTCCTGATTTTCTAGATATTATTAACAAGATTAATAAGTACAAAATTTTTTATGTGCTCAAACAAATACATATCATCTAATGATGTTAAATATGAATAGAGTCATACTGTACAACAAATTCAGATTAGTTTTTTTTCTAAAATATTATTTTTTTTGTTGAGATGAAGTAAACTACTCTCAGGTAACCGATTATATAACTCGTAATCTTGAAAGATATTGCTTAAAAGTGATGGATTTTGTTCGTCAGTATTGTTTATGACTTTATTAGTCTTATTTCTCTTTTTCATTACATTATTATAAATTAAAATAGTAACTGTCTAATTTACCACATCATACTAAAAATGAAGTTGTGAAAAATGGTTAGCATTAGAATTATTCTTTATGCTATATAACTACTATCATAGTCAATATGAATTTGAGATGAACTTCTTTTTTTATTCCACACTCATATCGTCAAGAAACATTGTAATTTCTTATTCATTCTATTTACCACCTTGGCTGTAGACGTCTGTATACATAATAAATTAATCACTCACACCCACAGTCTCAAGATGGTTGTATTTTTCCAACTTCATAAAAGCTTTATGTCTTCAATATTATATGGTTGTTTTTTTACAATGTAGAAAGAGCTCTTCTGTCGAACGAACTCTATTGACAAATTACTTTAGTTTTAAAACACTTTGTTTTCTTTTTGAATGCATTATCAACATGCGATAACCTATATGCAACCGTCACTTGATGTTGACTATTTCAATGTTGGAGTTTTATTCGCGGAAAGGTTTTTTTTGTCCTGTTCTGTTTTAACATAGGTGAGAGTAATGTAAAGTTTCATTCCTCTGCCTATTGATAAAACTCATTGCGTTGGTTTCTTCTGTCAACATGGTTTTTTCCTTTTTTTAAGCATCACGAAGGACATGCATAAAAGAACGAGAAAAATATTTTTATCGTTTCATTTTTATTTTCTTCATCTCTCGACTTATTCTTACTGTGCAACTCATTGCACAACAACCATAGGATTAATTCATTGTTAGTTGAATTTGAATCAAACAAACATCGATTTTTTTTTGCAAATAGATATTGCACATGGCGCATGCGGGAGATGAGAGTAAATTACAGCGTTGTTTAGACGTGATTATTCAAACCGTCGAAAACACTATGAAGAAATTACATGGCGAAGAAGAATCAGGACGTTTTACTATGAATGGTGCATTGGACACCAACATCTACACATTTACTTTAGATGCTCATGAAAAAGCTTTAATGGAGGAAATGAAACTTGAACTTGAAGACACCATCGAACAAACTCTTTCGCGATTATCGAAACTCTATCGTACCTATTTATTAGATTTTTTATATCAACACAGTTATGATCATGAATCTCGAGAGTTCACTAATCCTTTCAATGGTGGTATTCTCAAGGCTTTTGTCAATGATGCACAACAGATGTTAGCTTCATTGAAAGCTTTTCAAGCGGCTTTTAATGGTAATGAAAGTGATGTGAAAGATTTTTTGAAAAGATTTCCAACGATGAAGGATAGACCTGGCCTTCATAACACCACTCTCCTATATTCAGCGGCTCGAAACAATCATATCAATCTGGTTCGATATCTTGTTTTGAGAGCTCGATGTTCAGTTAATGCTCAGAATCAACAACATATTAAACGAGCTTTGTCAAAGTCAGCCAGAGATGATCCTGATTTCGTTGCAACTCCATCGGCTGGTTCAACTGCTCTACATGGCGCTTGTTTTGGTGGTCGTCTTGAGATGGTGAAATTCTTATTTGAACACGGTGCTGATTGTTTCCTCAGGAATCATGCTGATGAAACACCAATCGATAATGGCCGAACAAAACCAGATATTATCAAATATTTTACAGAAAATCTAATTCTAGGTTATTCAATCAAAACTGAGGAATTACCTCATATACCAATTCGTGAAGAAGATGAAGATTATATGGTCGATTGTATTTGGGAATATAAACCATTTAAAGAACAGAATTGGTTTCCTTTTTCTGCACCGGAATCGGAAACTCTTCAAGGATCACTGATAGTCAAACCAGAACAAGAATTTAAACGCGAGATTCATTTAAGAGTACGTGCTGGAACTTATGCGGTTTCATTAATTCAATTCCTACGTTCAGGAAAAGATGCCAGTTTCACTCAAAAAATCGCTTGGATCCGTTGTCGAGGTTCATCAATCTTAAATTTCAATTGTTATTGTCTATGGCAAATTATGTTTACCAAATATCCTCAAGCCGATACAGAACCATCGTTGACAATGTTAACTATACCAACGGCTTATAACAGTAACTTTAAAGTTCATCTTGATTCATGGTATTTCTGCGATGCCAAGACGAGTGCTCAGTTAGATCACACTATGAAATATCGACGAAAATACATTCGTTTAGTACTTTCTCATGTCTGTCAGGATGAAATGACTTTTGATTTGCAAACATTTTCGTTTAAAAATGACAATGGAAGTGTTACCGGTTGTCTTCGATGGATCCCGAAAATGATTTCGAATAATTCACGCAACAAAAATAAAATTATTGGTATTGATGATTTTCAAACATTGGCCAATTTAGATCCAATACCTTTAACTACGGCACGATTGATGAAAGTTTTACAAAAAGATGATAGCATGTCCATTGCTAATGATGATGATCCTCTCGGAGATGAAGAAGAATACGATTCTGACATGGAAACAGATGATATTGAAGACAGCGGAGATAAATATAAAGCTATGAACGAGGTAAAGAACTTGACTGTAACATACTCACACACTTATTTTTCATTTCAGGCACCCACCACTCCTATCAATCAATCTTGGTCCATACAAGATCTTGCTGATGGAACGCGAGATCCTCAACTGAATCCGATGTCGTCAAACCAGTCCGATGCTTCAGATGACTTGGATGACAAACGAATGGATGATTTTATCAATGAAGCAGCAGCACAAGTTCGTTCACCACAACAAAATCGTTTAGATGAAAAAGTTACTAGCGATACCTTAGATGATAAAAATTCAGCTGCAGCTAAAGCCCAACTATTAGAATTAGAAAAGAAAAACGATAAATTGCAACAGGATTTACAAAAAGAGCAACAACAAATAGAACAATTATTAGATTCAGGTAGTAAACATGAACAAGAAGTGATGAGTTTATTAGATCAAATCGCTGAGATGGAACAACAACAGAAAGAAAATAAACGGCAACAAGACAAATTAAAAGAAATGAATAAAAGCATCAAAACAGTAGATTATAACAATATTCAACATGGCGTAATCCATCGATTTTTAACACCGAAAGATTCGATCATTATTAGTTATTTACAAGGTTTAATAAAGAATCCCGATCCATCATTTAACGATCGAGTACCGAAAATCATTTTTGCTGAACAAAATAATCAATATATCGTTACCGTCGTTGGTTTTTCTGCGCATCATCAAGGGTTCAAAGATGTTTTGCAACGTATTTGGTCATTGATGAATATCGTTGAATCAGCCAAAGGTTTTTATCAACGAAATGTCAATCGACAAATCAAGAAATTGATGAAAGAAGGTGTATTGCGTGTAACATCAAAAACGCACGGTTGGAAAGAATACGTCAAAGCCTTTAGTCAATTATTAAAAACGTCTAGTGTCGAATATGAAAAAAAATTTCAAGATTATCTCGATGAACAAACGAATGCCTTGATTGATAAATGTATCGTGGGCAAATTACTCACACCTTGGGTAGAAATTCAAAAAGCAACTGATCAATTTTTACAAAAACATTCACTAATGAACGAAATCGAATCGATTAAACATGCGGCATTAGAAGAATTTATCAAAGAGAATATCTTTATTCAACGTACAAAATTGGAGAAAAAACCGTCAGACGAATCTGTTGCAGTTCTTCAACATTTCGTCAATAAAGTAAAGAACGAGTTTAAAACACAACCGATGTATCGAGGCGCTGAACTGAAACATTTCGCTTTGATTCCTAAACTTCTTCAACGTCTTGTTCTTTATTATGGTTGTTTCAAAGTTGAATTACCATTGTATGAATCATCAAGAGATTTATTAGATAAAATTGAGAAGAATGCTGTAACAACTATTTCGACATCCACTGGATCAGGAAAGTCCACATTATTACCGGTTTTATTAGTTGCTGAAGGCTATGATAAAGTCCTTGTCACTCAACCACGACGTTTGCCATGTCAATTGATTTGTAAACGTGTCAATGAAACGATGAGTGACGAATCCGGATCAATGAAAGATCCATTAGCTGGTTGGGCAATCAGTGGTACTGAAAGAAATCCAAACGCAAATATTCTTTACTTAACTGATGGTTTACTCAAAGAACGATTACTTTATGATTTAAATTTAATTACGACAAATACGAAATTCAATAAATCAGTGGTATTTTTTATCGACGAAGTACATGAACGCTCAGTTAATATCGATCTTTGTCTCTCTTTACTTGCTCGATTATTATCTACTCAACCTGAATTGAAAACGAAAATGAAAGTGATCATTTCATCTGCAACACTCGATGCTGCAGTACCTACATTATTTCGTAATATTCCTCAAATTAATCTCGCAGAATTCAAAATGCCAAACATGGGAACTTTACATAAAGTTACAGAAATCGAGCGACGTAATGAAAATGCTTTAGATATTGTTCAAGAATTGTGTAAAAAACGTAAACGACATGATCAAATTCTTTGTTTTGTTAGTTCAGTTGGTGAAGTAAATCAATCGTGTAAATTAATTAATCAAATTAGTCGAGAAACAATTGTTGCCTACCCATTAATTCAATCACAACATCCCAATGTTCAACAATACAACATCGAACATGGTACTGTGTTCTTTTCAACTACTGTTGCGGAAACATCATTAACATTTCCTTGTCTTAAATATGTTGTCGATACTGGAATGATTAATGTTCCTGTTTATGATTTTGACTTGAAACGAACTGTTCTTCGGGAAGTTCGTGCTGCTCAATCTACGATTAAACAACGATTAGGTCGTCTAGGTCGAACTCAACCGGGTGAATATTATTCATTGTACGATTTCAAAGTCGATGCTGTTCCTTATCCTATTCCTCAGATCTGTCAATCGGATCTGATGAACATCGAATTTTCATTAAGAAAATCTCCATTAAAAAAAGGATTTAACTATATGAAATCATTTCTACCGAATAAACCAACACAAAAAGCGATTGATACAGTCACTGAACAATTGAAAGATTTAGGTAAGAGATGCTAAATCAAAATTCCATGTGATTGATTACTTTTGTTTTTAGATATTTTGGAGAAAGGTTCTAATGATAAACTCACAAAACACGGTGAAGATTTGGCGAAACTACCTGATTTCGGTTCATTGGCCATGTCCAAAGCAGTCTTAGCAGCGCTTTGCATGTATAATTGTGGACGTGATTTGATCTGTTTATCAGCAATTTTGGGTGTTCTTAATACAACAGCTCTGTTAAAAAGTCTACCTCAACATCTGAAAAGTCCCGATGGAGACTTTATGACTTTATTAAAAGTAATGGACGAAATTCTGTTAGTAAGACAGAGTATTCCAGCAAAACAATTCAATCTCGATCAAGTATGTCAATCAAAAGGTTTAAAAGAGATTCAACATATTATTCGTCAAGCATTGAGACGTTATCAAACATTAGAAGTAACTTTTAAGCAATCACCTGATTTCTGTGCACGAGCTCAAATACAATCAGGAGATTGGGAAGTGGTTGCCAGATCGTTATTAGCAGGTTATTCGGACAATGTCTTTGTTTCGATGAAAGAATTACAAGATCGATCTCATTTATTTGTTCGTTACAATAATCGAGGTGATATAGCTAAACTTGATTTACAATCCACACTAACACGACCGATTAGCACAGCTCCAGTCTCGCTTGTCTTAGCTCGAGATATTCGTCATTCGACAGCTGTCCGAGCCACAGCAATCATTTCTTTTGTTGGCGAAATTAAAGCTGAATGGCTTGAATATATACTCGAACGTGAACTTGACTTGTCAAACGAGGAAGAAACTTATCTTAACACAGCAAATCGATATTCTACTGCTCATGCGAAATTCTCCAATCGAATCAATATGTCATTAGGTAGTCAAAAGATGAAATTCAAAGGTTCATCCGGTATTGTTCTCGATGCTGAATTACATCTTCGACAACAAATGATCTCCGAGTTGAAATTTAATTTGTCAAATACACCGAATCCAGGTGATGATTCAAATTTTACTCGAAATTTAGTACTTATTTTGAAAATGATCAATATTTTTAATCCGATGAAATGGCGATGGATTGCAGAAAGACAAGTAGAAATTACGATAAATAGCAATACGGCAACAAAAACTTGTGAAATTATCGTCAAAGGCAGAGATTCCGATAATAAAAAAGTGAAGAGAGAATTTGATGTATTTATTGGCTGGTTGCGAACTTGTGCCGTTATACGACATCCGAATGATTGTAAGTAAAGACTTTTCAATAAAAATTCATTTATAGAAATATCTTGATGTTTCTTTCAGATGTCAGTCCACGTGTACTTCGTCCTGCGATGCGTAAAGATTGTCGAGATATTGAAGAAAGAATTAGTCGTGTCACCGATACAAAACGAACACCAGTAGATTTATACAAGGGTGTCCGAGGTAGTCAAGCGACACGTGAAACACGTATGGAAGTGGTGGCATGGATTGCAATTTGCAAATTTGATTGCAAATTAGAAGGTGGTTTCGTTCGAGATTGGATTGTTGGTCATTACACAGCACGAATACCCGGTGTCACCGATCCTAAAACATGGATTGATACCAGTGGTCCTATGCCAGCTTTAAAAAAAGAAATAGTTCCATGTGATTTGGATTGTCATTTATCTTCGCATATGTATTTCGATATTGAAAAATTTCAAGATGAATTGTATAAGTATGGTATCACATGTAAGGTGGTACGTGATTATTGGCGATATGTTCTATTATTTGACGAGAATGAACCTACAGGTCCGTTTACCATGGATTTAATTGAACCACATGTCGCATTGACACATGATCGAATTGATTTGGATGTGAATAATTTATCATTGGAAAAAGATTATACACATGAACTTGGAATGCGTATTAACATTCAGCGAAAGCCTTATGAAATTGAATTGGAAAAAATTGTCAGTAACATTAAAAATAAACGCTTTAAAGTTCTTCGTCCTTTGGATCAATATGTTAAACAGCGTATCGAAAAAATGGAACAACGTGGATGGACACAAGATTTACCCGCGATATCAGTCATACCTGATCCACATTCCAAATATTATGCCATTTTAGTGCCATTACCACCGACTGCTACTCTCTATCTGGACGTTTCGACTAAGATGAAAAATACTATTCCTGCGGCCCAAATTATCTCGATTGAAGAAATTCGAAATCCATATCTAGAAGAAACCTATGAAGGTATGAAGAAACTTATCGCCAAACAATGTTCAAATCAAAATCCAAACGAACAAGAATTATTTCATGGTACAAAAATTAATGGAATTAAAGGTATTACAGAAGACGGATTTGATGATCGATATTTTAATAAAGGTGGTTTGTACGGTAAGTCGAATAATAATACTTGAACACTCATACCGATTTGTCATTTAGGTCACGGTGCTTATTTTGCTGATGATCCAAACAAATCGCACGGTTATACTGAAATAAATACAGCAGATAACACACGTGTAATGTTTTTCAACAAGGTAGTCTTAGGAAAACCAACAACTTTAACTGCTACAGACAATACGCTGGTCTCAGCTCCGCATCCATTTCATTCGGTAATTGGAAAACATGCAGCAATGACTGAATACATCGTTTATCGTTATGGTCAAGCTCTACCCTATTTAAAAATCGTTTACAAAGCCTAACAATCAGCTATTGACATTCACTTTTATTGGTATATACTGAATAAACAAGATAATAATTTAAATATAAATGAAAGTTTTTGTTGAATAAATAATTAAATAAAATATATTATCTAACATTTTGATAAATTAAGTCATTATTATTAAGGACTTATATTTAAATGAGCAATAATTTATTTAAATTAACAATAAATCGTATGTATAGGGAGCAATATAAATCCAGGTGTTACAGTATCATTCCTCAGTTTTGGATATTTTATTGTGTTTCTTTTGATTGTATCGTATAGATGGCTTATCTAGGATCTCTGAATATATATTGTTTTTTTCTTTTCATCTAAGGTATTTTCTAAAGGTTGATTCGTTCAAATACTTTTCTTTTTCCTTGATTTTCTCCCATTGTTTTTGAGTTTTCTCATCCTGTTTATGTGTATATACGTATATATATACGTCGTAGACCGATTCTTATGGGCAATGGAGAGATAAAAACTGGAATTTTTCTTTTTCTTACTACTAAAATATGAAATTAATATTCCTGTTTAATAGATTAATTATTACTCATTTCATAATTTAAAACTGCTCGAATAAGATTTTTTTATTACTCGAAGATTATTACTAAGGGTGGGTGTGGGTGTGGGTGCCATTTTTTATTCGTCTTACACCCACATCCACCTATCTTCTAGTAAAACTATTATAGAACGATGAGTAGAGCTGAAATTCTTACTGGTGTAAGGATGACTCATACTCAGTATACCCAAAAACGTTTAGCTCAAATGAATATAATAAAGCGAAGGAAAGGTTAAGAGACATCTTAGTTTTTAGAGAGATAAACTTGACATAAAACTGTCGACTACTTCAGCTTTTATGACTTATAAATAATCGTTATTTTCTACTGTTGTCTGCTCATTAAACATGAATAAAACTACCCATGACGATGTTGTACGTATCAGCAGATGTGACGGATTTTTTTTCTCTCTTATTGTGGTGCGAACGAAAAAATGATTTTTTTTTCGTTCTCCTTGGAGTAACGTGGTGAAAGCTACGGGGAGTCGTTACATTATGGGATAGAAATATAACTGAAGCGTATTCATTTTATCGATTAATGGTAATTGTATGCATGTCTAAACTTACAATAGCTAACAGCAATGTATGCGCCCATCTCTTCGCAGGAACAAGGGTAAGGTGGTATATTTTTTTTCAAAAATTTGAGCATCTAGTTATCTTTGCTGATGGTATTGCACTTTATTATAGTTCTCCATATCGAAAATCACATCGTTTTCATACAAAGCATACGCTTATATACCCGTTCATTGCAAATTAGTTTACTACTTGAAATAGATTTCAATTTGTCAATTTCGCTCTAACTTACAAGAGTATACACATTGATAATATACGAGAATCATTAATGTTTTTTCTTTAGATTTATTAGAAACAATGTCATCCGATAATGAGCTATTTCGTGGACGTTTTGATAATGTCCCCGATCGCAAACCTATATCGGTACGAATCTTCATTAGTTCCACATTTGCAGGTTAGTTCTTTGCTTTTTTATATCAAAACGTTGAAAAAAAAACACATTCATTTACAGATACTATCGAAGAACGTAATGTATTAATGGAAAATATTTATCCAAAATTGCGAGATTATTGCCTACAGACATATAACATACCATTTCAGGTTTATTATCTAATTACTATTAATAAAATATGGACACTGATATTTTTTAGTATTCTGACATGCGTTGGGGTGTTCAAGATCATGCTTCAGATGATCATTCAACGGTCGATGTGTGTCTACAAGAACTAGATCAATGTTGTCGTCTTTCACTCGCTACTAACTGCGTGGTACACTATGTTTTTCTATCGAACTAGAAATCATAATGTAATGATTGATTCTTAGGTTCTACTCAGCCATCGATATGGATGGCGATCATTACCCAATCGCATCTCATCAGATCTGTTAAATAAACTCAAAGAAATTGTATCTGTCGACCAACCTAGTACTCTCATCGATAAAGCATATGTTTTGGACGACAACTTTGTTGAATCAGTTTATGTTCTTCGACCAATCGATCCAGAGAAAAGAGAAGAATGGAAAATAATGGAAAAAGATTTAACTACAATTTTACGTCGAGCTTCTGATATTTGTTTAGAAAATAAAACAATTACTCAAAGTGAACGAAATGAATTTCATATATCTGGTATGATATGTTTCGACTTATTTTATTTTATTTTATTTGAGAATATCTTAGTAACGGCTAAGGAAATCATTCGAGCATTAGAAAATAATGCAATTGATCATCAACGAATGGTTTCATTCTTTCGAGAGATCGAAGATATTGATCAACTTGATACTCGTCTGAAATCCAAATTAGCTGATACCGATAATGAAACAGAAGTATTATTGAATGAGATTAAATCAAATATCCGAGAGAAACTTCCACGTGAAAATCAATTTACCTATCGAGTTTGATCGGCTGAATTCTCTAGAATCAAAATTCATTCTTGCCTTCTATTTTCTTTAGGTAAACTGGAAGGATGATTCGCATCGAATCAATTATTTGATCAAATTTCAAAATGATTTCTACAGTGTTATCAAACAACAAATCGATTATTATATGACAAAAATTCGTACAAAAGATGTTTTGTATGATGAAATTCTCGAACATGCTATTCAATGTCAAATATTGAATGAACGATATTTTCCACGAGATGAAATCCTTGAGAAAGTAATCATCATTTTTTTAAATCTTATTTCAATGTCGTATTTTGTTATTTGAATAGGTTCGAGCATTTGTTTTGTCAGATGGATCACAACCATGCATAATCTATGGTAAATTAGGTTCAGGAAAATCATCTATTGTGGCTCAAATAGCGATTAAGGTCAATGATTTGATTGATTAATAGTTGTATTTAATAAAGAATAAATTTAGGTATTGGAATGGTTTCCAAACTCAAGTTCAGTATCGATCATTATTCGTTTTCTTGGTGCGACGCCATTATCAAGTGATATTCGTCGACCACTAATCTCGATTATTCAACAAATTTGTACGATCTATCATCTTACGCTAATGACACCTGTTCAAGATTCTACAAGAATTGAAGAACTAAAAGAAATATTGCAGAATCTCTTCACTCAAATTCCTATCAATGAAAAATTAATTCTTCTTTTTGATTCGATCGATCAATTACAAGTCAAAGATTATAATTGTGAAAAATGGCTTCCAATCTATTATCCAGTGAATATTAAATGTATTCTATCTACAATACCAATGATTGTTGAAGGTAGTGGAGAACAAAAAGTCGAATATAAAATTCTTGACGGATTGATATCTCTCTTCACTGATAGTATTCTCATTGAGATCAAAGAATTCGATAGAGATCAAGCACAGAAAGTCATCTCTTCATGGTTAGGACGTGATCGTCGACGTCTTTCAACAACTCAAATGACTTGGCTACAGACAAAACTCGAGGCGCATATTTCGAATCGACATGATCCAGAACCTACACCATTATTTCTTTCATCGATCTATCAAATAACCCAGTCATGGCATTCATTTACTAACAAGTCTGATCGTGATTTTCTTCGAATACAAACTACACAAGATGCCATTAGTTATTTGTATAATCAATTATCTAGAAAACATGGAGAAATTTTATTTAAACGAGCGATGACATATTTGAGATTATCAGGTGGTCTCAGTGAATCCGAACTAGAAGATATTCTCAGTACTGATGATCAAGTTTTGCAATCAGTTTTTACTCATTATCTTCCTCCAACGAATATATTTCGATTACCAAGTACTCTATGGATTCGTATTCGTAACGATATGCACAAATATCTCATTGAAAAAGAAATCGATAATACACTAATTATTTACTTGTAAGGAGATTTATTTAAAAAAAAACAGCCTTCTATATTTTCTTCTTTTATTTACATCTAGTTATCATCGTAGTTTTCAACAACAATCGATACTTAATATTAATCAAGAAAAGTCTATTGAAACTATTCGTTGTGCTTATTTCGCTGGTCCTATTGGCAATTTTCCAAATTTATCTGATCAATTATTTAAAATTCAATCGAAAAGTTTAATCAAGAAGATGGATGGCGCTACATCATTGGTTGTTAATCGATGTCTAACAAAACAGCGACCGTATATTTTAAATGAAAATCGAGAAGAATCTATATTTAATATGCGACGACTTAATCAACTTTGCTTAAATTTAGATATCTGTCGACTTGAACCATGTTTTCTCTATGATTATAATTTTATGTGGACTTTTCTTCATTGTTATAAAATGAGCGATCGATTCGGAGCTGATTCTTCGTATTCCGAAATTCGGTTTCTCCTAACACAATACAAAAGTTGTTCTACCATTGTCAATAAATATCCAGAAAATTTCGCCTTTGAAATTCTATCTCGTCTAACATCTTTTATCGATATACTTCCCGATTTTACCTATCATTTATTTCAAGAATGTCAAAATAATTGTATGTTTCGCATTTTGGACAATGGTAATACACGAGTATTGAATACAATGATGAATACATATAAAACAGGCATCATTAATGCTATGTCTTTAGGTTATAGTACTCTTTATGTATTACTACAAGAAAAAGTTCTTGTTTTTCGATTTTATCCACAAGATTGGCTTGGAAAAATCTTTGAATATAAATTACCGTCGAATCAATTTACTTCGATTAAGTTTGGTACTACAAATATATGTTTCTATTCATGCCAATCAATTTTAATTTTTCAAAAATTTGATCATCAATTTGTACTTCAATTAAATTTCAATCATATTATACATGTTGATTTTTTTTACATGGAAGGATTACTTGTCTGTACGAAAGATAATCAATCGATTGATATATGGCATTGTGTAAATAAAACATTGATTGAACGATATTTATTTGATGTTCCTATTGTAGAATGTTCAACTATTGAACGATATATGGGCGTAACCATTAGAGTGACACTTGAAAATGGTTTAATACATTATTTAATTGCTAGAGATAATCAAGGAAAAGTTTGTTTTCAAATTATTGCAACATTAACTCAAAAATTGGCTGATCGAAATATATTTCTAAATTTCAATACTGATGTTTATTATTGTGAGAATCAGTCATATATTTATTTGTACCATTTCGAACGTCCTGAAAATGATCGTCTTGAAAAAATCGACAACTTACCTTTATTAAATAGTACGATCAATCGTCAAAGTTTCTTCACCGATCGACACGAAAGTGCATTGATCTGGTTAGCTAATGGTTCTGTTGTTGTTTTTCACTCTTGTGGTCAATATTTTCTTATTCCTGGTGAATATCATGAACTATATACGAAATGTCAAGCAAAACGAAATTTTATTTGTTGTCTCAATCGAAATCAATCAAGAATTGATATTTACGAATGGAAACTTCATGAATCTGTTCATACATACCGTTTACTTGCTAAGCTACAACTTAATGAACAAATTTTTCATTGGGCATGCCAGATAGGTTAGTCTTCTTTATCATTCTACAGATTTTTGTCAAAATGTTATCTTTGTTAAAGATGCAGAATGGGGTTTCATTATCTATTGCACATTCGCTAATGGAGAATTACGTAAGTACAATGTAACAATGATGACCTATCTGCCTGCTAAGACAAGATTACAAATTTCGATTGATCGCTTCGAAGTTCAAGGTGATTTTGTTATTGCATTAGACAAAACAAAATGGTGAGTTCTATTGATAAATTTGATTAGCAAATAAAATAACAATTATTTTGTAGTATTTTGAATGTTTTCACGTTTGATAAACGATTATCTCTTGTCAAACAAATACAAATGCCTTTTATGATTACACAATTAGCTATGAACACATCCTATTTACTTGTATTGAATTCCAACAATACTCTGTTTATTTATTCGATTAGTTCAACACCAGTACTTTTCTTTCAAACAGATGAATTCCAATATCATCCTGTCAAAGTATACTCGATTGGCTTATTATTCTTCATCATTGACGCTGAGACCAATCTACTCTTTCAAATCGATACAGAACATTCATTCAAGCTACAAAATCTTTCACATTTCAATTTCTCCTGTCATTCCCTATTAAGTACCATCAGTGTTGATCGAAAGAAATTATTTATTTTAGCGGATGATTATTCTGTATTGGCTATGTGGAATGCTGAGAAGAAAGCTATGGAATTGATTTCCATTTCGCTCGATAATAACATTAAAATAAGAAAAATATCTGCGCTGCAAAGTGTTTTGGTTTTCTACGATAATAATCAGCAAGTTTATTGGTGGAATATTGAGCGTCAACAGATCATTCGTACTCTTCATTATGATCCGTGCAAAACAAATGCCAATTGTCGAACCCATGAAGAGCATACTGATAATAATGATAAATATTTGACAGAAGATGGTAAATATCTTTTTGAAATATCTCAGAAAGAGTCCTTACTATTAATGTATCGTGTTGATGATAGCCAACTTCTGGAAAAACTTTTCATTGATAGTCTTTTGCCACATATTGAAGTTTTCAAAGATCGTCTAATTCTCTGTTCCGATAATGAACTTATTTTATTATGCATTAACGAAAGAGATTCATCACCATTGATACGGTAATAAACATGTTCACTTCTTTCTTATGCTCTCTATTTTAATGAGATTTGTCTTTTCAGAAATTCCATCGATTCGAAACGACGTTGTGCCTTGTTCGAACAGGTCAATTGGATCGATTGTCATAACGACGAACAATGGATAACAACAAATTCTATTTGTCTCTATGGTAACCACTGATGTATTCATTATCCATACAATCAAACAACAACGATATATTTGTCAGTTCTTTTTATACATCTGATCATATTCATGGATGTTATATAAACCATAGTCATTACTTTCATTGATCGTAGTTCTTTAGATCATATTCGTGTAGAATCTTTATAAATATGAAATATAAACAATATGTCATATTTTCATCTTTGACATTCACACTCACCATCAAAATGATATTTGATAATGATCAACTAATTTGTTCTATTTAGATTCGAACATTTTTGCAAAAGAAAAGAAACTTAATTATGTTTGTTAGAGACATTTTCTAATCATAGAAAAATTTATTTTTGGATTTAATTAAGACATAAAAAAATGAATGTATAACTAATGTGTTAAATGTTTTTAATTAAATCTGCTGCTCTTTCTGCTATTGCAATAGTTGGAATATTTGTATTGCCTGACACAATACTTGGCATGATACTTGCATCAATAACACGAAGACCCCTTACACCTTTAACTTTTGTATCCGGTGTGACAACTGTCATTTCATCTTGTTCTTTTCCCATTTTACATGTTCCCACTGGATGAAAGACTGTAACACTATATTTTCGAACATATGATTCCCAAAATTTATCTTCATTATCATCTATTATTTCATTTCCATTCATTTCTTTCGCTAATGATTGAAGTATATCTTTCAATGGTTCAGTGTGACAAATTTTTTCAACTAATTTACATCCTTCAACTAATATTTGAACATCTTCTTTGTTTTCTAAATAGTTTGGATTGATAATTGGATGTATAAATGGATCACGACTTGCTAAAGTTATTTCACCTCTTGATTTTGGATGAAGTAATGTAGGAAGACAGAAAACTGTTCCTAGTTGTCCATCGAAAAGATGTGAATCCAGATATTGTTCATATATTTCTGGTTTAAAATTTAAAATCTTCGTAAATTTAGTATCAGCTGTTACTGGAAGTAAATGTATTTGAGTATCAGGCACTTGTGTTTTATCTAGTAGAATAAAAATTTCATCAAAAAAGATATGAATACTTTAAAGTCTATGTCACAAAAGTACATTCAATAGGAGTGAATAGGTAGAAGATGAAGAATCAATCTTTGATCTTATATATTTTATAAAACAAGGTAATTTACCAGTTTTATTCACTTGACACCATCCTTGTGATTCAACAATACATGATGTGAGAAGACCTCTTCCTTCAGTTGCCCATCTTTGTAGATTTTCTTGTGTCAAATCACGAGCAGAAAGTGTTGGTATTTTACTTAAATAAATAAGAATAGATGTAAGATGATCTTGTAAGTTTTTTCCAACACCAGGTAGATCAACTATAACAGGAATTTCATGTTTTTCTAATTCATCACGAGGGCCAATTCCAGATAGAAGAAGTATTTGTGGACTACCGATAGCACCAGCAGAAAGAATCACTTCTTTACCTTTAATAAACTCTTCTTTATCTGGTGAACTATCACGTCTAACAATCACACCTAAATATATCAACATAAAATAAGATTGGAACTAGATATCTTTGATTATACTAACCAGTTGTTTGTTTTTCTTCATTAAACAAAACACGACAAGTATGTGCATTGATTAATAAATGAAAATTCTTTCGTTTTATTCCTGATAATAAATAACCACTTGCTGTCGACCAACGTTTCCCATGTTTAGTTGATATTTGTGACATTGATACACATCCACTAAGAGATTCTTCAGCATTATAATCTTTCGTTTGATGAAATCCATTTTTTTCACAAGATTCAATAAATAATTGATTTAATTTATTAGATTCTTCTAATATTGTAACATCCATCATACCTTTATTTTGATCATGATTGCGAAATTTTTCATTTTCTGGAATTGTATTTATATCAGCGCGTTCTAATTTTTTAAAATATGGTAATAATTTATCGAATGACCATTCTTCTAATTGCCAATTATCATAATCATGTGGATCACCTCGAACATATTGCATATAATTGATTGACGAGCAGCCACCAAGAACTTTTCCTCGTGGCCAACTACTTTGTTGATTGATACAATTAAAATGTGAATAAACTTGTGATGTAGTTTTATATTGCCAATCGATATCACCACCTTGACAACTTCCACTAAAATTCATAAAAACATTATTTATCTTGTTTTATTAAATAAAATTAATAGTTTTTTTACGATGCAGCTGGCATATGAATTGTATTGATTGTATCAGCACCACCAGCTTCAATAAGAAGAATTTGTTTATCATCTTGTTCAGAAAGACGATTAGCTAAGACAGCACCTGCTGAACCAGACCCAACAATAATATAATCATATATTATTTCATCTGTTTTGGTATTAGAAAAGTCATCTTCCCAACGTTGAACAACAGATGAAGATTCACTAATAACTGGTGCGGCAGTTTGATCAGTAACACTACTTGCTTGTGACATTCGTTGTTTTATCTTAACTAAATCAAATATGAGAAAAACAATCTGAAATCAAACTATAAAAACTCTTTACAAATCATATAGCATCTTCAAAAAATTGTTGAGTAATAAAAGTCAAAAAACAAAATCTTTGAAAATTAAGACTAAGAAAAGATTTGTAAAAAGTATTTGTTCTCTTGCTCTAGTCATTATTGAGTCATTTTACTCAGTAATTGATTTTTAACTTCACAATATAAATATTGAAGTGAGAAAAATATTTTTATTATTGAAATACAGACAGAAATTCATATGATCATCATATATCATACGATTCCAACATAAATAATGAAATTAGTAAATAATGAAAAGAGTGACTATAGATGATCATATCAATGATAGTGAAACAAATAATAACAATTATTTTTTTTCGTTCTGTCACTATAATATAGATTATTTCTTGAAGAGAACTTGTATATGAATAGAATAGATTATTCTATAGACAAAATGATTAAAGAACAAATGAAGACTTTTTCCATTTCTATGATAAAAGGCGACTACAAATCTTTGGCTCAGGAATGTGAGATATGCAGGGTTGTAGAGAATTTTTTTCTCTATTGAACTCTGTTGAGTACTGTAAAAATCGATGTTTGGCTTCAATTCAAGCCAATTAGAGACTCGTATCGAAGTCAACTAAATCTCTTGCTTATAATTCATTTTTTACATTAAATTTTTTTGAGGTGAATGTTTTATTCTCTGATGTTTTCTCTACAGACTGATATATTCTGAGGATTCAATCAATGTTTTATTGAGATTCACGGACACAAAAGAAAGTTGAAGTCAGGTTTCACTCCGATTTTTTGTAACTCCGACTTTCTTTTGTGTCGGTGAATCTCAATAAAACATTGATTGAATCCTCAGAATATATCAGTCTGTAGAGAAAACATCAGAGAATAAAACCTTCACCTCAAAAAAATTTAATGTAAAAAATGAATTATAAGCAAGAGATTTAGTTGACTCCGACGCCGATATTGATGCAGATCTCTAATTGGCTTGATTTCAAGCCAAAAATCAATTTTTCTCTACACGCCTATATATGTCTCGTTCCTGAGTCAACCCCATATCGTCGCCTTTAGTTTGGAAAATATTGAATTTCAATCATCTTATTTAATAAAAATAATGACAATAAATCTACTATTTCAATGTTATTTTTATACAAAATAAAATATGATATAGAAATGTATTTTCATTTGATTCATTTTTTAACAATACATACGATTTTATAATAAAAATACGTTAAAAACCTTAGTAAAATTATAATATTGCTTCTTTTCGTATCAAAATAACATGCCTTACCCTTATTTAAAAGACTGAATACTTAACTGAGTGTAAAAAAAGATAAGACTTTCATTGGATACATTTATAGATATGAAACTTATTGTCCACGTATGTTGATCAGCTGTAATGGTGTGGGTGTGAACTAATTGGTTTTATTTTGATTTATTGGTATTATCATATGAAGTAAAGATTGATTTATATAAGAATCTTATGTATTTTACTCATACAAATTTTCTATTTAATAAGACAGATGTCGCCAAAAGACAAAAAA